TTACACACATTTAAAAATATTTCAATTTATTTGAATAATAAGCTTTAGGACTAAGGGGAGACAAAAAAAATTGCCCACAGAATTGGAAAGACTAAATCCATAACTATTGAAACACATCACAAAAACTTAAGACATTATAAATATTAGACATTTAATTTTTGCAGTATCAATATAAATAAAACAAACTATTCACAGAAGCTGATACGAGAACTGATTACATAGCAAACATGAACTGTAGAATTATCAACATCATTATTTAATTAAAAAAATTTCAAAACTAACACATGTGAACACTTGTACAATGTAGAGAACTACTTCCAAGGCTGAAGTAAATTAAAATGTAAATCATTAAAAAAACAAAAGAAGTTCCAATGATACAAATAATATGAAGAACCATCTCAAGAAAATATTAATTCATATCAAGATAAAAGATGAGACAAATTTGGCAGAACCCTTAATGACATTTTTAACATGAAACACCAACTAAACTCCAATATGTGTTAATTACGATATAAAAACTCCCAACCTTAAATAAATTAAAGAAAACTGAATTTATCAACTTCATAACCTAATTCCAAAATGAAGCAACAAAAAGGAATAATAAATTTACAATTTTATTAAAATCCTTCCAATTGCATTACACAAACATTTTTTTTTTACTCTTAACCATTGATGGCATATTTTATTTAATATTATCTAGGCTATTCAGGCATATCGCTGAGCAGTTCGCTCTAAGGAAGGTATGTTGGCCAGAACATCAGCAACCACGACAGACGGGGCTTGTCCCAGATAGCCTAGATAATACAAACTCCGGTCACAGAAGCCTGTGCAATCATATTTTTTATTAATTTCACAAGTACTTACATTGCTTGAGTTGGGTCAGGAGTCAAGTGCTTCCTTATCATTCTATCTTCATATTTATTGAGATTGTTTATATTTTCAACGACTTCCTAAAACAAACAATCAAAAGAATTGAAAATGAGGTAGATGTATTAAATGAAGTACAATTTATAACAAAAGATAAATTCTTACATAAAGGAGTTTATAGAAATTTGCCTTTCCTGTATAAAACAGAAAATGGTGTGGACGTCCTGCTTCATCAAATTCTGCAGCCTTCTGAGGAGGATACACTTCTTCAGGTGGTTTCATGAAGGGCCGTGCTTTAGGCTCAAACAACCCGGATGGGAAAAGATATTCTATTGCTTTCTGAAAAAGAAACACATATATATCTGAAAACCATGAGAAATATCATTTAAATTTATGGCATTCAGTTACGGGTCCTATAAATTTTATTCCTATAATACAGAGGGTTCTTAACCTTGTTTCTTCAGTAGTCCGCTTTGACTCTACAATACCACCTTCCAAAAATAAAATGTTTAGGCTAATCAAGCTACTTACACCTATACACCAAACATGAATAATGGAAGAATGTTTTGTTTGTTTTTTTGTCCATGTAAGTATAAAAAAAAAGAAAAAGGCAATTGTAACCCAGAAGGTCAATGCCTAAAAATAAATAAATAAAAAACCTAAAACTTCAAGGAATTAAAAACATCCTTCTTTCAGAAAAAAAATTCATCCATTTTGAATGAAGATTGTGCAATTTATGTTCATCTAAATTTGACCTTTTTTTTTTTTTAGGTGGCAGTTTTTCTCAAGTACTGTACTTAACTTAAAATATATTTACTTCCAATGCAAATTAACCTCTTTATGTTATTTGATTTTACATATTAAACATGGACCCAGAAACAAAACAAATTCCACAATAAAGCTGCCAAACCTAGAACCTTGAATATATTTAGATGTCTTTGAAACACGGATAATGAAGAGACAGACAAGCAAAAACTACAAGTAGCACATATGAGATTTTTAAGACACCTCTTGTAAATCACAAGAAGAGACAGACTGAGAAATAAAGACATCAGAAAGAAATTGAAAGGGTTTAGAAGAGAAATAGAACAAAGGATAAGGAGATGGAAAGAGCATTTACAGAAAATGAACAACAACAGATTGCCAAAATTAATCACAAAGTACAAAACGAGAGGGATCAGATGTAGAAGCAGATCACTAAAGAGGTGGCAACAGCAAGAACACTTGGAAGACTAATTATCTACCAAGAATACTGCGATAAACAAATAGAAAGAGGCTGTAAAGTTGAATTTATGGTCCATTCATGATTATGATGTTATTTCTAATGAACAGAGAAATGAAATACGTTTATGTATTAGGGGTGGAACTTTTGTTTAAAACAAGGGTCCCCTATTGTCCTACTGCCTCATGCCTCTTTGTTTTTCCTGGACGCCCCTGTATATGAATTTCAAATCTTTCCAGTAATCTTACTGATGGTTAAAATAACAACTGAATGCACACCATACTTCAACAGAAGTTGATCAAAAAGGAACCTGCCAATAGGCAGTATGATGAAACCTTTTTCCCACTTTGGCAAGAGTTTAGATAAAATTGACATTAATTTTTACTGTAACTATTTATAAACAGAAACGTACTATTTTTTTTAACTTGTAGAAATTCTTATTCAACTATTTTTAAATCGTAAAATGAAATAGTAAAAAATTACTTTAAATGTGTGATAATATATGACAAAATAAAAAATTATGAGAAATATCTTTTCTCTCTTTCAGTACTAAAAATTCAGTATTGTTTCAATTAAAAAACAATCACAAGACACATTCTGCCCTGAAATTAATGGGTTTATATTTAATCATATCTTCTTACTTTGAAAATTGAAATTGAAAGTAACCAAGATTTTTTTAACATTCTGCATTTAAACTGTCAGACATCTAGAAAATAATTTGTATTGAGTATTGTTAGTATTTATATATAGCGCACTCCATTATAAGAATGATATGCATTTTATGTGACTTATTTCAGTGATAAAACAATAAATAGCAAGAAACCTTTCCCAGTTTCTCACTGATACTTCATTAAAACCATTCAAGGCGTCAAGGAAATCAAACTTAATTAAAGAAAACTCTCAGTGTCACTATAGATATCATTAAAAATACAACACTACTTACATTAACATCTTCTTGGGTGAAAAATTCAGGATCTTCTCCCATCATGTTAGCAAGATGACGTTTTCCAATTTGATATTCAAGATTTTCCTTCTTGATAAATTCCTCTACACAAAAAGGAGTTCATTAGACATGTCAGGAAATATTTTAGGCTACTGGTACAGTACTATTTTAGAATTTGTTGTAAAAGCATGCAAGGAATGCATGAGATCTAGAAACCTACAAAAAAAATCTTTACATCTCTTACGACTCCATGTGGAAAATTAACAAAATGATTAGCAGTCATCATTTTTTTTAAGAGTTAACTTAATTTCATTGAATTAAATGTTAATTTTTCTGCCTTCCTCATGAAATACATGGCATGATCCTAACACTTATCAATGAGCATCAGTTGTCTGTCCAAATATAACCCAAATCTAGAAGGGTATATCATACCATGTTTCCTGGCTCTTTCCAAGTACGCCTTCATTGCTTTACTTGTTTTCTTTACTGATGGTTTCTTTTCTGAATCATTATTGTTTGTACAAAAGGAGACCGTAAGGGTACTTGGCCATAAAACCTGTAACAAATTGGCGCAACTTTAAGTAAAAATGTAAGTTTAAGCTAAAACAACTAATTTATTTACAATAATCATTATGTATTGGTTGTAATTAGTGGGATTAATAGAAATCCTAATATGAAATATATGATGTTAACTACTTAATAATTCAAAAATGGAACACAATTCGTTATACAAATTTTTCAATTTTAACCTAAGTCAGCAAAACAATGTGATCACCTTTGCTCCGTTTGCAGTGACACTTGAAGACCAAGACACATAATTGCTGTTTCTTACAACAAATTTTATAATGGGAATCATGTCATTTATATTTAGGTCAAGAATCCAAAAACTTTACTATTTGGGACGATTTAATTTTCAATAACCTCTACACCTGATTGCCGGATCTTCTTTTTGTAACCTCGAGGAATGTTTACATATTTTACCGCAAGTTTACCACAAACAAAACCACGCCTCATGTCCATGTGTGCCAATTTCGAGAAGACAATTGACTGGCTCATTCCGCAAACACACTGTAATGTTGGCGTTTCTGTGTGCGTGCCACTGTATGAAGCTGAATTCGAGGAACTTGAAAACTGTAGTCTGCAACAATTTGCAACTGCATTTTGCGTAGGGTTGCATTTTAGTTTCTACAAATCGACATAATTTGATACTCGTTTTTCTGATAAATTGAAAATTGATAAGATAATTTAACGTTTAAATAATGCATTGACATGTACTTTGATCTTGATTCACTAGGCAAAACGCTGTACCAAGAAAATTAGCTTTGACGTGTCAGTTGATCTTGTGAAGTAAAGTATCATGAAGCCTGTGATATTTCTGCACCCGGACTTGGGAATCGGAGGTGCAGAAAGACTAGTAGTGGATGCGGCGCTTGCTCTGAAAAGAAAAGGATGTGCTGTTCATTTCATTACAAGTCATCACGATCCAACTCATTGTTTTGCGGAAACTAAAGATGGAACGTTTCCCGTCACTGTTGCTGGTGACTGGTTGCCGCGAAGTATATTTGGACGATTTTATGCTCTTTGCGCGTACATTCGGATGATCTATGCTGCATTTTATTTAGCATTCTTCAGTGGACTGGATCCCAGTGTTGTCATCTGTGACCAAATATCTGTTTGTATACCTATCCTCAAAATCTGTTCCATGAAAGTGATTTTTTACTGTCATTTCCCAGACCAACTGCTAAGTAAACCAGGTGGACTATTAAAGTCTTTATATCGAGCTCCACTGAATTGGATAGAAGAAACCACTACAGGTCAAGCCGATAGAATTCTTGTCAACAGTAGATTTACATCTGAGGTTTTCAAAGAAACCTTCCAAAGACTGAATATGCACCCAAAGGTTTTACACCCTTCTCTAAATACTGATTTTTTTGACAAACATTCTGTGGAACCTCTACAGAAATACGTTTCCACCAAATTGAAAGAAGGGTCAATTGTCTTTCTTTCAATTAATCGTTATGAAAGGAAGAAAAACTTGTCACTTGCATTGGATGCAATGGAAAGTTTACACTCTTCCTTATCAGAAGATGAGTGGGCCAAAGTGCATTTAATAATTGCAGGGGGATATGATCACATTGTCCCTGAAAATGTTGAATATTTTGTTGAACTTGAAGATCAATATAAAAAGTCTTCCAATCTCAAGGATCACGTGACATTCCTGAAATCTCCATCAGATTCAGCAAAACTTTCATTGTTGAGAGGCAGTTCATGCCTTATATATACTCCTGAAAATGAACATTTTGGTATCGTTCCCCTTGAAGCAATGTATTGCTCAATACCGGTAATTGCTGCAAATAGTGGTGGACCAACAGAAACTGTTGTTAATGAGAAAACTGGATTTTTGTGTCCTCCAAATAGCCGAGACTTTGCATCTGCAATGGAAAAGTTTATTAAAAATATTAACCTTTCTCAGGAGATGGGAAAAGCTGGACAAGAACGTGTAAAGAAATCATTTTCTTTCTCTGCATTCTCTGATAATTTGTATTCAGTGGTTATAGAGTTTGAAGATTCTAAACAAAAATAATTGAAAGTAAATATTTTCAATTAACAATGTGTTTTCATTTATTTCATCTCCTTAAAATCTTGTAAAGCAAATTGTAACTTGCCATTATAATTACCTAAAAAATTATAAATTACTTTAAAAGAAACTAAAATAAGGGTTTTTAAACTATTGGAAAACAAGTTCAGTGACATTACAATACAAAACTGAAAAATTGAATTGAATTACCAGGAGTACTATTTGTTGAGAAAATATGCTTTAATTAAATTGTTTCAATTTTATTTCTTAATTAAAATATGTTCAAAACAATATCTTTGATCCTTTGAAATTGTAGAGTCTTATTAGTTAAATATTTTATTAAAAGTCCACTTTTTTAAGACAGTATCCACATTTTAAATTAGGACACACTTTAAAATTACTGCACTGAAAAATATAAAAACAAGTGAAATTACAGAATTTGAGCTGAGTGTTTTATTTGGATGGCCCATTCCTTTTGAGGGTACTAAAAGAATGGACTTAAGAACTTCCATTTGACCAAGAGGTTAAGCTTCCTTGGTCAAGTGGCAGGAGGGAAGAGAAAAAAATCGTCAACCACACATTGAGGGTCAGATCCAAATGAGGGTTTTGATTAAATCATATACAATTATAAAAAGAACCCCCCTCTTCCAGATCCACCACATACAAACATATTCCCACCTGCCACTCCTTTCTGCACTGCTATACGTTATCCACTGGAAACAGGAGGGCAACAACTTAAATTTTTTTCAACATTAAGTAGAAAACCTGTAATTATCCTAACTGATCTGGAAATTTATAGCATAAATGAAAACATAATGAATTACTGAGATAATAATAATAATAATAATAATAATAATAATAATAATAATAATAATAATAATAATAATAATTTTATTGCTTATAGACTTACAGAAAGTATTAAGCAAAATCTGACTAGAAATTATTTAAAATTATAATAAGTTAGTTACATTATTTAACAACATTCATTTACAGTATCTTGATAAATTGTTTGTTATATATAAAATTGATCAATATAAACAAATTAATTAATTTAATTTATAACGGGAATTAAATTCAATTACGTAACGTACAGTAACAATTAAGCGTTTACTTCATAAATAACATGATTATTAAAGCATGGAAATGATCATAATAAACATTAAAATAATATACATTTTTGAACTACACAAAGTCATTACCAAATTAAAAATAACATTACCACTACATTACATAAAAAATATATTAATACATTTACATTAGCGGATTATGATACAATAGCAAGAACTAACTTACAATTCAAGTGAGTAATCCTACAGCAGTTGATTAATTCACTTCAATATCCTGAATATCGTAGATGTTAATAATAATTGTAATCCTGACAAAATAACATTTGTACTACATTACTATATGGTACATTGCCTTATTGAACTGAAAGGCTGGTACAGAGTAATCACTCTTGTAGCGGTACATGGTTTTTAATTAAAGAGAATTTAAAACAATTCAGATATCTTACATAGATACACACTAATAAGGTGATGTTTAAGCAACGTTTTGAAGAATATATTAACAGCTGATTTTATGGTAACTGTGAGTTTATTAAAAATCTGTGCAGCAGTGCAGAAAGGATCTTGGTTAGTTGAAGACTTGTTAGCATATAACCTAGTCCCTATGTCCTCTAGTATAGTAGTTATGTACCTCTTTATTACTCACATGATATTGATTCTGATTATTTCTCAAAAGTAATAATACTTTGTAAGAGTAAAGTGCTACAACAGACAGTAATTTATATTTAATAAAGAAATCTTTACAGGACTGTCTTGGATTCAGTTTGAAAATGCGTCTGATACATTTCTTTTGTTGGATCATTAATATATCCATATTTCTTTGTGTCATACCTCCCCATATTTCAATACCATATTGAAGTTGGTAATCCCATAATAGACTGAAAGAAGTGCATCTGTTTCCAGGTATCTGGAAAAGTATCTCAAGAGGAATATATTGGAGTTCATTGTATTACGAAGTGTGTCAACTTATTTGTCATAAGTTAGGTTTTGATCTATGAATATTCCCCAAAACTTATGGCAATCAGTTTTATTCCGAGATTCATTGCCTTACTTCCACTTGAATGTTTTGGTGTTGATAACCAAAATTAAACTTGAAATTGATTAATACATTTTAAATTCAATTCATTTATAAACAAAAATACTTTTAATTGATTTTAATGATTGTCAGATTAGTTTCAAGATGACAAAGATCTTGCCCACTGCTTATTAATGTTGTATCATCTGCATAAGAAATTACAGAGAAATCAGATGAACTTGGAATATCATTAATATGTATTAGAAATAGTAAAGGTCCAAGCATAAATCCTTATGAAACACCTGTGGCAATTGTCTCATAATTTGATTTAACTTTGGATAAGAAATTTTCAAATTGCCTGAAGATCTCTGTACATTTCTTTAGTTCTGTGAGGTATGATCTAGTGAGGTCATTAACTCCACCCCTTTTTCCATAATAATTTAATTTTGTCAGCAGTCTTTCATTAGATACACTATCAAATGCCTTTGAAAGATCAATGAATATAACTGCCGTTCCCCTATTTCATTCCAAATTTTCAATGATTTCATGTATAAATTCCATAACAGCAGTGGTGGTGGAGAAGCCCTCCGGAAGCCATGTTGTGATTTGTTAAGGATATTATTAGATTCAAGAAAACAATTAAGTCTTGCTTATATAACTTTTTCATAGAGTTTGCCAGGGATATGGGCAGGTAATTCCTAACATCATGTGTATTATAATTCTTTGCAAGTGGTCTTACAATACTAATTTTTAGGGATTCTGGGAAAGTGGATACAGATAGAGATGAATTTATTAAGTAAACCGATATATTGAGAAGAGCAGGCTTACATTTTTTAAGAATTATAGAAGATTTTTCATCATTTCCCAATAAGCAACTATTTTTAAAGGAATGTATCAGTCGATTAACTGCAGTAGCATTTGTGTGATGTAGAAACAAAGGTTTTAAAGTTCCAGAGGATAAAGAATTACTAATATTACGGGTTACAGTGTCCTGCTTTGAGTTTAAATAATGACAGTTAAAGGTCCTACAAATACCAGGATTATCAAGAAACACGCCTTCATGTAGTAAGTTTGTTTTTGTGAGTATGAGTTTTCCCAATGTTTTAGATTTGTTTGTTGGGTTGTTAACTGTATGATTTAATTGACAAGCTTTATCATTCCTAAGTTTTAGCCTATATTGTTTATACTTCTCATTCTAAAAGAGGTTCTTAGTATCTCTGAACAGGTCGTACATGTTTTTCATTTTATTTCTAAGAACAAAATTTCATAAGGAAGCTTAATTTTGGGTTTCTTCACTACATTAAGTAGCCTCTTAATAATGGGACATGCAGTGTTCAAATGATGATTTAATATACTCAAGAACAAGTACCATTTCTCAATGATATCATTACTATTGAGTACTTCAGTCCATTCCTCTTTTAGGAGACATTCATTCAGCAAATGTAGTTTAGTATAATTTGTGTCACAGATGAATGTGTATTCAAGACTAACAGGACAATTGATCATTTCAATGATTTGTGCAGTGTGATCAGATGAATGAAAATCAATATTATGAGAACGTTATTTATTCATTTCAATGTTTGTAATGACGTGGTCTAGGGCGGAGCTGGCATGGATTTTAACAAGTGTTGGCCCAGAAAGATTGAAACTCTTTAGTATATTCGTGTAGTTCATTATATTCAATATTAATGTTCAGATCTCCCAAAATAATTAATTTACAATTGTGGTTTTCTAAGAGTTAGGAGTTCTTCAAACCTGAGTAGGAAGGCATTAACACTAAAATTTGGGGATCTATAAATGTCTACGATTTTTATGTTCCCCTTCAGCGAGTTTACATCTACACCTGCTGCTACTTGAAAAGTCATTTCGATACTCGTATCTCTAATCCAGTCTAATGATTTACAAATTAAATTATTCTGCACTATTATTGCAACACCGCCACTTTTATTGAATTCTCTACAGAAGCATGCATGAAGTTTATATTTGGAAAAGTTAATAGTATTAATTTCATTATACTTAAGACCATGTTCAGTAATGACTCCTACATGTATAAAAGTTTCTTCTAGTTACCTCATGCTGTTCAATTTTGTTGTACATGTATTGAATATTTTTGGTAAAGTACATTGAGGACACTTTCTTTTTAAAAATTTCTATCACAGGTGTATTGTCTTAATTGCTAAATTTTTTTTTGCCTTTGTTATATTCATGTCCAAGGATCTATTTGAGAGATATAATCCCAAAACAGAGGTCAGAATCCTAAGTAGACTGATCTTAACAGCCAACCACGAAATATGTTAAGGTCCTAAATTGTGCAATGATCTATTTACTATCTCAAAAATCTATAAAAGCAGCCAGCTGATAGAATTCTCCCCCGGACTGTGACTGAAGTCAACCTACATAATGTTGAAAATCTGCCTCCATCAGAACTTGAACTCTAGGACCTCATAGTCAATGACACTGCAGAGGCATTGCCTGCTGTCCGTGAGACTACTTTCAAAATATTTGTATAACATTAGGTTCTGCCTTAGTTCCACAAATATACTGCTTACAACATACGCAAATCAATTAGAATGTAATAAAACTTATAAAAACATATGCACGAGATCACCAATAACACTTCAGTTTACTATCTTATAGAAATAACCTTTAGAGCATTTCTTTATTGAATCATCTTGAGATATGGTCAAAATAACTGAAGTTTACATCAAAAATGTACATTCAATAAAAAAAGGATGAACTTCTGAGAAAGTAAGAATCTTGTTTTAACCAATTCATTCACAAGAAAGTACCAAGGAAAAATGTCTTGTTGCAAAAATCAAAGCCACAGTAAGGACTATATGACTGGCTTCTATTAATCCATTTTTCTAGGTACCTTATTAACAATTTAAAATTTTTCAAATATGAAATATTTCTTGAAATATTTTTGGAAATATTCAAATCAAGTAAATTGCAAAATAAAACTTCCCCTATTCCGTTCTTCAAATGCTTTCAGCTGTTTGGGTCAAGCTGTTTTGAGAGAGTATTGCTAACGCTTCAATATACTTCTGTAAATATCATAAGCATTTCAGTCCTGAGGAGACCATGACAAGAGGGTGAAAATGTTGGCATCATAGCATTTGACCTTATGTCACTCACAGAGCTGAGAGCATTCACATGACTGGCTGCAGAAGCCATCATCAACAGACTGTCTCACTCATTTCTTCACTTTGTTCCCTCCTAGAGTTAATTTCTCCTCTGAAGAAAATTGTCAATTTGAAGCCAGGATGAGAGGAATGAAATAAATTATAAAGTGTTTCAGCAATGCATCCAAACATATTTAATAAGTTACTGTATAGCAAAATACATTTCACTTTACAGAGTAAACATTGCTTAAAACACCCTACCTTGCCACCAATTTACAATATATTAACATCATTCTTTAGGGTATACACATAAATGTACATGAAATGCGTTTGGGTCATTCTTCACAATGTTTTAAAGAAAGACATTGGCTGATTGATTAAATAGTAGTTTTGAATTTTTTGTTATCTCACTGTAATGTACAACAAGAGACTGGAATATTATCACAATTATTATTTCCCTAAATCACAGCTGAAAAGGTGTTGCAGGGAAAACAGAAATAACAATAATATTATTCACAATAATAGGTCCCTAAGTCGTTTTTCATATCACAAAAATACACATTATTTTCATAAGTGACATCAAAACCCTCACATAACCAACAATTGCAGTGAACTCCAAGAAAATTGATAGAAATTCACTGTCGTGCCATGTTGACAGGTAATGTGCAACAATATCTGAGGATACTAATATATTTTGCACCTATTAGACAACTGCATTTTGTCTTGTTACGAGGCAAGAGTGTACATTTGAGCACTTCCAACCGAACCCAGGTACATTAATTATAACTCCCTGTGTCAGGCTTCATGATACTCCTTTGTCAGGAAATGCATAAGCTCCATCTGACATTTCAAGTTGAGATTTAGATGAATTCACTTCAAGTTGCAAATCATACTGCTGGTCAAGTCCCAAATAGGCATCAGACATAACATACAAAGTCAAAATCAACCGCCCTGAAAGAAACCAAAATGAAATCTACCTAGAAAACAATTCATTATGTAAAGCATTACAAACATTTATCCATAAAAATGAATGGAATAAATTGGCTTGACATTAGCAAAGTATTCAATTCCATTAAATAAAATTAAAAAATTAATTCTAATGAGTCACCATGCCAGATCAAAATAAAAATATCATAAAGGTATCTCATCTGAGTTAAGTATTTTTGATGGAATGAGTATATAATGAATATTTTTGTACGTATTACTAGAGTAAATTTTGTTTTTCTGATTGTTTTACTTCATAAGATTTGAACTCCAACAATTTAAATATTCCCACATTTTGGAAGCATAACAAAACATGAATATTAAAAAATGTGTGTAAATACGTTTGCATTAACAATACTAAATACACTACAATTAATACTCAAAGTCAATTTTGGGTGTAGAAGAAGAGGGAGCAAAAGAGATTCAAACACTATCACAAGTGCCGATACATTTTGCTTCTATTTGCCTCTTCAAAAAATTTTGATTTATTAGTATACATTTCATGACAAATTTATTTGTTAAAATACATTTTTCTGACAGTTGATGCATCAATTATCTTATGACAATTCCTTAGAACAACCACATTAATACAAGCATTTTGAATTCAAATCACATATTCTTGTTATATCAACCTTATGATGGAAGATGTTTTAACTTAATGAAGGGCCAACAGTTCAAAGAATCAAGGGAATTTGAATACCTTCAGAGGCCAAGGATATTTTTTTACTGTAGTATGATTGTTGTGACTGTAGTGTGGTAGAAAAACATCTAATTCATAATAACTTGTAGCCATTCAATCATACATTTGTAATAAGCCATGGGAACTTTAGTAGAGCATCTATTTATTACTTTGATAATTGACATTTATCCCAAGATATGTAATTAAAAGAACTCCATGAACTTCATACCTGGTTTGGTAGGCATTTTAAAGGTGAGTGATTGAGAGCTCTTTCCACCTCGCAAACTGAACACTCGCTTTAGCGCAAACAACTCAAAACATTCCACATTGCCAAGTACGAGGAACCAGCCTTCATCCTTGCCTCGTGGAAATTTTGGGCAATGAGCTCTGCACCCAGAACCTCCACCACTTGCTTTTGGCCTGTTTAAGCGGTGCATTTGGACAGTTAACACATACTCTCTACCACCAACAACAGGTGTCCAAGTGCCATGTTTTAATTTACAGTTTTCCATTTGTGCCCCTTCATCACCTTCACTTTCTGCACTATCCCATACTGTATGAAGAGATAGATGGACTGACAAAACAGGCATATCACACAAAACCTGAAATAACTGCAACAGAAAAAAATGAATCTTACATGCAGTTTATTCATAATGTATGTGGATGTAAATTCACAAAAGTATTTACAAGATTAAATAATAACAAGTTACCAAAACAACGGTTATTCCTTAAAATTATATAGTACTCAAATGGTACAAGTTTTTTGCACATTAGTTTTCATCCACAAAGACAACTCTACAATTAAAGCTTTTGATGGCTAACAACACTTTTTTTTAACAAAACACAAATAAAAAATAGTGACTTTTCAGAAGACAAGCAGGAAAGTTTCCATTACAAGTTAGTAAAAACGTGACCAATTTCCATCATTTAAACAAATTGCTGTTTAATTTCTATAATATGTTTTGCTAGAATTTGGAAGATCTTCCTTTTTGGGTGACATTATTATCACAAAACAATCAAATTTTGAGATTAGTGTTGTTCAAATCGAATTATCATTATGTTGAATTAATTCATCTTCTCCAGATCCAGAAACATTTGGTAAAAGCAATAAATATTATATTTGTTTTACTTACTGTATAGAAATTAAATTTAAAATTTTAAAAATAGATGTACATTGATTATATTTGATAGAACTACAATCTAAACAAATACAACTCAAATGTGAAAATAAATACATTTTGGAATGCAGTTATTGTGTAATACATAACAACAAAAGTGCATTGGATATTAATTAGTATTGTAGATAAGAAATAGGCCTTACTTGTTCAATTTGCCCCTCCTCTAGTTGAGAACGAAGCATGTTGGCCAACTTCTCATAGTTCCTACATACTTCATGCCGCAAACCAGCCAAATGTTGGAGTTTGCGATCTTGTCTGGCAAAGATATACAAGTGATGTGGTTCTAAATGAGGCAATGTTAGAAGATCAGAATGCCACACCCAGCGTGCCTGTACTGCCATCTGCAGCACCTGAATCACTCGCAAAGCAGTTGCCAACCATCCTCGTTCTGCCACCACATCTAACATGGCCTATGGAAGTAATTTATTATTATGAAATGAAGAGCAAATTCAACCACTACACATTGGAAAACAATAAAACTCAACAAATCTTTGTAATTTATTTTTTCCAGAAAGAATTGCAAATGACTTTTAATAATTTTGACACCAATTGACTCATCACACAACTAAACAACCTAAGACCAATAAATTTTCCCTAGTATTGTTCTCTTTAAGAAAACATAGCCTTCTGATATCAAAAAGTTCAGTATTTATATTTATCTGAAATGAAAATTTGATTTGTATTTTTGGTTGGGAATAAATATACCTATGGAACAAATATTAGTTTTCTAAATAAAAATGCAAAAAGTTTTAGAATTGCAAATTGCATTTAGGTGTTGTGGAAGACATCTGAGTGTCTATTGTTCTCATAGCAATAGAACTCATTTCAAAGATCAATCTCCCATCATTCTTCTGCTACACCATCAACCAGAGTTTTTTAGCCATATCAAAGAAGCTTGAGACATCAGTTTTGGTGTTCTAGCATGTACCCAGAAATTTAAGCTGGTCTGCTCCTCAAAACACAGTTTTAGATTCTGAAAAGAGTTATGAAGATCACAGTCAAACACATTTGCTGTCAGTGAATGTGTACTTTCCCCACCAGGCATTCTTCATAAATGACTGAATTCATCCACATGATCGGTTTTTTATGTATTTAAGAAAAGGTCCTGAAAGGCAGTGGCAGCTCATGACTACAAAAGTTGGAGGCTCACAAAATTTTGGTGGTGAGGTCCATAAAAAGTAGGGGAAGGTGGTTTTGTTGGTAGCATTAACAATGTCTGTAAAATCCACATGGTCTGTAAAATCTGTCTTTCAGACTTCATGGTCCTATCATTCCCCCCCTTTCTTTCCCAGCTTTCTCAAAGGCTCTGCATTATCATGAAAGCAGCCAAGAGCTCCCTTATGATTGGAGCTCACCCTGTCACAGTGTTTTCTTTTGAGTTAAGTTTCTCAAACATTTTTGTATTATGCACAATTTTTGTATAAATAATGAAATTTGTATATTTTTTGTGAAAACATGAACCGACGCACAAACTTTTGTATAATTTCACAGATTACTCATTATAAAATACTGCTGTGTTTGCTGCATCATATTTGCAGCTCTCTTACAAAGTTTACTCAACTTTGCCCTCTCTAGGAGCTTGTCACTATCTACCAGAGAATATCATGTGTAAGAAAGTCTGATGGTCATCCACATGTTTCTTCATATGACAACACTGGTGCCCTTTCCAGGTTTTTGAGATGTTGACTATTATCATGGATATATATACCCCTCAACTTCCTAATGCCATCTACTGTCAGTCTACAGTCTATGCTGTAGCATTGTGGATCTCAGCTTGCAACACTGAGTAAACACCAGACTTACAGTACACCTTTGGATCATTCTCTTGAACTTGCTTTACAGTTAATACAATAAAACTGTGATGCAACTATAACTTACATGAGTAATTATAGAAAATAAATACATATTTTTTTACATTATCTAAAATATATTTAACTAATGAAAATATTTGGTGGTAGTACAAACATGCTTCAATTGGCATGAGACAGCTATCATGGACTATGAATGAATTCTGCAATAGATTTACGCTCAGTCAACAACTAAAAATCACTCTTGTAAAGACATGAAACAAAACCAGTGATTTTTTTTCCATTCCAAAGGAAACATTCCAATTGAAGACAGCATTTAATGACTTGACCAATTCTGAAACTAACAATGCTTTCACATGGTGTTCAGTCTGTCTTAGGATTTGGGTTATTCATTGAATGCCAAAAGTATATTAGGTCCACTAGTGAGCTTCATTACCATTTTAAGTCCATTATTCACAAAGTTTATAAATGCAGTCTTTTTTAAGATACACATAATGTGATTTTTGCTCTGTTGGAAATCTAGGCTTCACATCAAATATTTCTCAATGTTAACTTGCAATAGCATAAAAGGCTGGCAATTTCGTTGGCTGATTCAGATCAAAATTTACAAGATAACTATATAAGTAAGAATCATTAGAGAACAGGACAATTACAATTTATATCTAAATGGGGATGAATTGCTATTGTGAAATTGCTCAGTATTGCGACCCTCTACAGGAGAGCATTGTGTCATTCAAGAACCCAAGAAGAAATGGGGAACAAAATTTACACGTGATGTTCCAAACATAACCCACTACTTTAGTTATAGGCTCACATTACTTACACCATAAATGCAAATGTTAAGTATTTAAAACAAAAAATCAACAATTTTTTAATACCAAACAATCATTGAATTGTAGAATTACGAACATTATAATGAATATTCACAATATAATGGAGTAGAAGGAAAAAATTGAACCACCATAGCCAAAGGTTGACTTAGTGACTTCAATATCAATGTGTACTATCTTCATGTCATGCACAATTAAAAAATCATATGCAACAAAATATAAAAATTAAAAATATATAGGTATATTCTCATAGTCTGAAACTTAAAAGTACCATAATATGATTATTTTTGTTTCATATCTTTCATTTGAAATCAGACTAATAACACTGCAACAAGCAAGAACTGCCTCAAGTACTAATATCAATCAATTGTAGTAGTCATTTTCAAAAAGCTATCCCAACAATTCCTATTAATACAGGGATGAGTGAAAATGACAATAAAACTTAGAAGAGATTTCCATTATCAAAAAGGATCAATAATTGTTCAGGCAATTATAGTAAAAAGACCCTAATTTTCTTTCAAGTGCAGGAGACATTGGGATTTTCTGATTTCATTTTAATGCATTTGTAAATAGCAAAAAAGTCGTTATGAACACACAAGTCAGTCTATTCCTATTTTTCTCACTATGCAGTCTATCCCCGATTCACTCACTAAACAACCTTATGTTCTAGTTAGGTTAATTATTTTTTGGTTGAGATATACACGTGAAATGTTAACAGAAAAGAAGTTTTTCAAGATCATCTTCCCAGAAATATATAAGAAAAATTTTGATGTAAAGAAATGATTTTGAAGCCAATGTTGTATTTTCTCTTATCCTTTGTTTTATTTCAAGAAGTAATTTAACATTGCAGAAACAACTTAGAAACTAGCTCACTATTAAAAACTTTATCTTTCTTTATATTTTTCTTCTGTTATTACCTTTTTTCTTCCTTTTTTCCACAAGTCAGTAGACATTTTACAGATCTTTAAAAAAAGCCCCTAAATTGTACAAACATATAAATATATTAAACAAATTACCTGCAAGATTCGAAGAGCTTGATCAAGAACTGATTTTGTATCAGTAAGATAGTCCGCACAAGGTAACTCTAATCGAGAGAAATGTGCTTGCAACAAAAGAAAAGTCTTTGTATGAGGGGAGTCCAGAGTAAATGAATCGACAGCCAATGGGCAGCTTTTAGCTAGATCACTGTGAAAACAAAATATACATAATTGTGTAAGCACTGCAGGCATATTGCAGAATGAACTTGTTTCTATGAACAGTGGAATTATGAATACAGCTTATCATTAAGTGGTTACCCATTAAGAAGATCTTCATTATGACGAACAGGCATTTCTTCATACTCATGTACATCCGCTAGGACATGTAACAGTTCCTCAATTCCAATGTCTGATGCAAGCCGTTCACGAAATAAAATCATAGTTTGATGGGACAAGTAGTAGTATGAAGCAATGCGCCCCATGCTTGTAGGTACCACCCCTCTTTCATCCTACAATAAAGATGATGATGTGCACTTTCATTGTTGAATCGAAGATGTTTCAAACACAAATTTGACAAGTTCACAACAACATTTTCATTTGAATACATTTATTTTCCATGCAATTGCAGATCTCTTAAATTGTATTTTGAGATAATTTACAATTAAAAATATCGTTTTGAGGAAAATTAAAATAAAGTGTTATTTTCAAAGTTTGCAAATGCATTTTCAGAATTTCCCCAATTTTTAAAATGTGCATGGTTGAAAGTATTAATATGGCTGATTGAGTCCTTATTTGCAAGACCATCATCTCAATCTTTTTCTTAATATAAACATACAAACTTCAAAATGCTGAAAGGAATCAAGTTTGTGAGCACACGTTGACAATACAGAACTTAGCATAAATATTGATAATTTTCATGCCTAAATTAAAGTAAGTAAAGTTGATTAGTAGCAAGTTTATCTCTATTCATACACTATAAAATCTATATTACGTTTTGTAGATGTTAATGTAAATTTACAATATAATATTGTAAAATGACAAGAAATTTTTAATGAAACAACAGTTTTATTAACCTCTTCAAAATCAATGCAGTAAGCTTCTGCAAGTGTGTTCAAACTTCGCTGGGTTAAACCAGAAAGATAAGCATTGATATTATGAGAATTCACATCCTGTAACTGATAGTAACTTGGGTTCTGCAGCAATCTTCTAAAGAAATATGTCCATGTCAAGTAATCAAGAACATCCTGTTTCGAGCGAATTGTGCCAGCCACAATTTCTGCACATAAATGATCAGGGAACACTTCCAAGAGACTAGATTCAACTGGGAAAGGCTCATAAAGGAATTTCTTGTAGAAGTTTTTTTTGGCGTCATGAACCAGCACAACTGCCACACCCTAGAAGGAAAAAAAACAACATACAAATATACCTTCATAAGTTTTTCTACTTTTTACACCTGTGTGTGTGTGTGTGTGTGTGTGTGTGTATGTATATACACACACACATATATATACAGAAAACTTTTACAGACAATCAATAATAGCCTAAAACTGTTGCTCTGGCAACTTGGGAACATCAAAAACATTTTTTTCAGCATTTCTTTTTTATATGAGCTTGTGAACCAAGGTAAATATTAGAACTAATTTATGACAAATTATTTTATCAAAAATTTGTGAAGAAATTTTTTTAACTCTAACAAGGTTTATGTGTATTAACTATTGAATGCAACTCACATAAGGCAATTTTTTTAAACCAGAGGTCAAAATGTGATATGGTATTCCATGAAGAACAGAAGTGATATGAAGTCTCTGACTACACTGGTAGGAAAACATGCTCTTATGCAGATATTTATGCTTCACCCATAGGACGCATAAGCAATAACACTATTGATGTTCAGTGTCAGAAAAAAGATAAGCTAAAATTTCTCCAGTTGCTAACTGACTGTGTCATCAATCTTCAGGGATATCAGCTAAGGTTGCTGCCAGCCTCAACTAAGATACCTTTTTCTGACAATGTACCATCAAATTAGGTATTATGGATACGATACGGATCAAACATTTGGTATCTAAACAATACAGTTTTATCAATGCAACAGAATTATGATCAACACATTTTTATTATAAATAGCTTCATCATCTACCCCTACTCAGCACACGATTTGTTTTGTGGTATTCCACCCCCACCCATCCTTGGTCTTACTTTCTTCTAAAGAAATTCCATTCCAGGGATCCATGCTTTACTAGGTAAAACTAGAAACCAATTTTTCACACTCTATTAGAATGCATAATTATCATTTGTCACATTAACTGCCCTAAAATATTTTGTTGCTGAGCATAAATATCATTAAATAAAACAACTAGAGAGGGGGAAAAAGGAGGTTCATTCACTCAAGGCTGCCCAAGATAATATGAAAGATATCTTTGCTTAATTGTTTTTCCATGAAAGCTGGAGACACGAAACAATCATTGAAGGTGGTGAACCGTTCCACTGACTACTGCACTCCACTGATAATTGCATGGTTGTTCTGTTCACATGCATTACGTTATTGGAATTCTCAGATTGTATGGCTACCTCTGCTAAGTGTGTTTACATTTGGCATTCAGTGAATATAAAACAAACAATTATTATAACATAAATAACCAATTAAAGTGTACTCTTGAGTTGGAAGTCTTCATGAGTTTTTAAAACTATCACAGATGAGGGCATTATGATATTTTCATTAGACTTAATAAGGATTTCATTTGTGTATCATACTTATTGATAAAGATGTTCCTACTTTCTTAGGATTCTTTAAATAAGAGAATAAAACAGGTTTCAATTACAATTTTTGAACTCTTGCCAATGTAATACACTCAATAGTTAACAAAATCATGTATTAGTTGTAGTGAAGCTCGCTTGCACATTACAAAGAGAGTTAAAGTTGTGGTTAATTATTACAAGCTTTCTTTCTGTGCAAAAATAATTATTTAATTCTCATACCCAATAATTACATTAATCAAAGGAAGTTATTTTTACCTGATCATCAAACTGAGGACGCCCTGCACGACCCATCATTTGCAGAACATCTGTTATGGGCATATCCACATAACGACGTGACTTCCCATCATAATACTCAGTACCTTTCACCACAACTAAATGTGCAGGAAAATTTACACCCCATGCCAAAGTAGCAGTGGCTATCAAAACCTAGAAACAAATAAGAAAATGGGTTTTAAAAATTTAATACAAACAATACTTTTACTTCTTCTTTTAGACTCTACTATCCAAAAGACATTTTTGTTTAATCCTTCCTTCACAGGAAGTACAACAAATACTCAAGAAGTGAGCAAGACAAATAAAAAGCTAAAAGCCAACGAGCTAAAATAGGATATTTCACCTACCTTTGCACCATAATTTCATCAACACCCGCAAGAACATTCATTACTTCATTAACATTTTATGTTTTACCAAATAACAGTGTGAATTTCATATAATATTTTTTTATTTCATAAAATATATTTTTTAAAGCATTGTTCCCTTTCTAACATTCTTTCCCCTTTTTGCATTCTACATAAATATTAAACCTTTTTAGTATTCCAAATACTTTTCAATACATTTTGGAGGTACAAAAAGAAAAATAGATTCAAAAATGTCATAAAACACTATTCAAATATTTCTTGACATCACTTTCACTTGAATTTTCATTAAAACTTTCACATATCAACAACCTATAAACTATGAAAATAAATGTTTATGAAATTTATTCAGATAAAATTTTCTTAGTTTTGAGTTTACTTGATGTTGTCATTATTTATGATGATTATTTCACTATCTGATGATCTTTTCATTATTTAATCTTTTAAACAACATTTAAAAATGGGTAAGTTATTCATAAGAATATGTATTAAATAACAAAGTTGTTAAAAAACATTTTGATAAAGTTTATTGTTCTCAAATCAAAATACTGAATTTACCTGAGTGTATTTACAAGACAAATTTGTTCCCAAAAATTTCATTCAAATAATTTAGACACATCTTATATTTGCAGATTAAGTCTAGTCAGTTACATTTTATGTTTTAACAATACTTTACAATCTTACAAAACTCATAAATGATGTAACAACAAGCCATAAAGACAATACCTACAGCCATTTATTCTCTTATTCCACAGTTTATCAAGTGAATGTGACAATACCAGTATTGACTTAAAATTTTTAGAATGACAAACACACTAGATTCATGGTGTTTTCAGAGGATTTGTGTATATTTGTAAATTATTCTATTCAAAGATGTTGAATTTATTATAAGAATTTTAATCTAAGGGTTTCCAAAAAAATTTTAAGCAATTTGCACAATTGCTTAATATGTTAAGCAATGTACATATAGCAGAAGCAAAATTATTTATTTTTGAAATTCTAAGCTACATCACTGTTCATTTGCTTTTTACTACAAGTAAGTGAACCAATGTTTATTTATTTACATAAAAAACAGTTAAAAACTGTGTCACATGCAATGAGGAGAAGCTAATTTGAAGTTACATTTATGTCCAGAAGCAAAACAAGGGCCCATTCAGCATTTGCTCAAGGGTCAAGGAAACTGGACAAAAACCTGATAGAGATGGGGGTACTTGACCCAAAAGCAGAAGTACATTACTTGTTACAGGTTCTTTAGAATTACACAATCCAAATGGTAAATAACACATTAAATGTTATTGTTAAAATTAATATTACATTCCTTTTGGATGCTTGGTATAGTCTAATTGTATAGAAACAGCTAAACAACAGAAAAGATTTTACTTGGAACTTATGCTTTTGAATCAAATTTAATCGTTTAATGCCATTTGGCAAGGTGTTGTAAAATAATGTAAATGTATTGTATTGTATGTGAAATTTTTGTTGTCAGCTTTTGAAACTGTCACCTGATGAATCATCGACCTGATGAGTACTACGAGTCTTGTGGTTATACAGATCAGCATTTGCTGAAAATATATTCCCACCTTCAGGAAAGCCATTTTTGACAAAAACCACCGATTCATACATGAAGAGACAAGGTAATGACAAAATACCTATATTAATAATGAGAGGCTTACAAGAATCACAAGGGTGGGATTTCCTTATTATTCATACAATTCTTTTTTGTAATCTAAAAGTCTCGAAGTTATAAGAAGTATTTCCCCAGAATATTATGCCATATATCTTCGCAAAATGTATACAATGAGCAGCACGGAGGCTGGCTGAATTTGAAAGAATTCTGAAAGTGTAACACAAAGATCTTAATTTACTGTTCAATTCATTTATATGGACGTTCCATTTAAGGTTTGACTGAATTGAAAGACCTAAAAAATTTTGTTTCCTTAACATCAGTCAACGGCCCACCGTACATTTTCAATCGAGTACAGAGCTGTTTATTTGAAATGGAAAACTGTATTGAAACTGTTTGCTTTTTACTTATAATAATTTATTATGGAATCAATTTGAAATATCTGATATTGTACCATTTATGGTTTCTTTATTGCATAAAATATTCGTATCATCCACAAAGAGCACTATTCTTTCATTTCTAATCACTGAGGGCTTATCATTTACGTATAGTAGGAAGAGAATAAGGCTCAAAATCGATCCATGTGACTCCACATGTAAATGGCAAAGAATTGGAAAGGTGTGAACATAATGTTCCATTGTTCCAGTAAGGTATTTCTACTCTCTGAGATCGTTGTTTAAGGTACGAACATATCTAAAGCAATATCATAAATTACATACAAAGGTAATTTTGAAAGTAAAATGTTATGACCAATGATGTCAAAAGCTTCTGAAAGATCTATAAATATTCCAAAAGGTGCTTCATTTTGATCCATGGATGAGGTGACATCTTTAAGAAAAGAAAATATTGCTGTTTCCATAGATTTCGATTTTCGAAATCCATGTTGGCAATCAGAAAACTTGTCGAGTTTACTAGGAAAGGTTTTCATTCATACTTACGAAAGTATCTCTAACATTTTTGAAAAAAAAAAAAAGAAAAAGAAGAAGAAGACAAAAGATAATTTTGAATATCATTTTTGTAGCCTTTTTTGAAAAGCAGCTTAAGAGGGCTGAGAGGAAATTAATTTCAAAATGTGGTACATATGTTTCCCTCAGTTGCCGTTTTAATAGTTGGTTTGCGTACTTAATCTCACTGCATAGTGTTGGTCAGTTGTACCAGAAGGGCAGAGTCGAGGCTACGATGTTAGTATTTTGTGCAGTACATTGTAATTAATTTACATGTTATTCAGGTGTAAAGTCACTGGCCAAATGAATGTCATTCTGCCCTCCTATGATAATGACTGAGATCTGATTGGTTAGTGTCTGTGTGGGTGTCCAACTATGCAGATACGTCTGCAAACCTTTCATTAGGTTTAAAAATAGATGAGACTGTGTAGTTGGAGGGTAACTTCCTTCTGAGAATGGAGGTAAGATAGCAGCCATGGCTGTCAGCTAAAATAAGTACTTGTTTTATAGGCTCAGTAGGAATGCTTTTGTTTTCAAATGGGCAAGGATGACCAACTTTACGTGTTTTGGTTTTGATGCACTTCCTAGCCTGTTTACATTGGTTACATTGGTATATATTTGTGCATGTATGAATACCAACCTGTATCTTCTGATTAACAAACAACTCTTCAACAGTACGTCGATCACGTTCTTGAAGGCCTGCATGATGAAGTCCAATCCCAAATGCAAGAGTAAGTTTGAGGTTGGAATCTTTGACACTGGTCACCACTTGTTCCATTTCCTGTTCAGGTAAATGCAACCATTGTTTAGGATTGTCTTCAGCTGCCAATAGTGCCACAAGGTCTAAAGCAGTCAAACGGGTTTGACGGCGGGACGATACAAAAATTAACACAGGTTGGGAGGGGGAATGCTGGCGAATAGCCTGGAATGCTGGCTTATTCATTGTGGCCATGCGTGGGCAATAGTGTTTCCCAGGGAAACCTGCTATGTGCACTTCAAGAGGCACTGGACGAACAGATGGCCGGAAGTTGTAAAGTCCCATCTGTAAAAGAACCAAAATTGCAGATAATTAAATCACCAGAGACAGTTTCTTGGAATTTGAAACTAACCTCACTGCTGGATATAACACAGTTCAATGATTTAGGGAGGCAGTTACAAGGAGCTCTGTATTCCCTGAGAGAGTGAGAGAGATGCAACAGAAGAATTTGAAGTAAAAGTAAAAGTAAAGGAAGAGGAAAAAGATTCAGGAAAAGGGAGATTCTGACCGCTGAGTAGTGACGCAGGGGTGTGTACACAGACTTGGCGGTTCTCTTGACAACTGACTGCGACAAGACATGACGGATATGACATTAATGGAGGATTACTCCGAAAGCGCAAAGCACTCAATGCCCTCCGGCGCTTGGAGACGCGTTGCGTCAAGTGAAGACGCAACAAATTAAAA